TATACAATCTAAGTTTTAACAATAGAGCTTTTCAATTCAAACCAGTTTTGGAAAAACACCTTTCTCTTCAGAGTTCCCGTAGGGTGAACATCTCAAAGCTCTTTATAAAGATGAAGAAGCCTGAGCTGGAGGTGGGGTGGGTGGAAGATAGGATAGAGGAGGTGGACAAGGCCCCAAAAGACAAGCCTTTCTGCAGGTTGTGAAAAAGTTTTCAAATTTGGTCACCTTATAACTGCCCATGGAGAACAGATATGGAGATTGATAGCTAAGGACAAATAGGGAGTTGAATAAATAAACTGAAAGTTTAACATGCTATTTTAAGTATGTTCAGCAAAATACCACAAAAAACTGCAGTGAAACAAACGTTAGGATTAAAAGACATCTTGCACAAGTCACATCTAATGATAATCATAATCCTTGCATTTGAAATAGCACCTTATCACGTCTTCGAGACGTCTTAAAATGTTTCACAGAATATACTGTCAAGCGTATTGACTGAATATTTTGTGGGAGAAGTGTGGCAGCTAATTGCACAAAGCAGTGTCCCACAAACAGCAGTGGATTGAGTGACCAATTTATATATTTTTTGAATGAATTATTATCCCTGGAAAAGCAATCCACCAATTACTAACAACCAGCTTCCTACTTACTGCTAGCTTAACAGAGGTGTATGGAGTAAGGAAACTTGCCCAAGGTTTTGCCGTGCCGGGAATCAAACCAAGAGTGCTCTAACCACTGAGCTACAGGACTCCGTAATTCCATAAACAACACAACTGGGTCTAAACTGCTGTCAGTCACTACCTTTGAGCTAAGTCTAAGCTCTTATAAACTAGTCACACAGACACCTGCTGTCCAGATCTCCCCATGCTTGGATCCCTACCTATTAGTGAAAAATAAACAGAAATATCTCCTGAGTTCATTAAACATCTGTAGCCATTTAAAAGCTCTGCAAAAAATATGCATATTCATTAGATATTTTGGTAGTTTATTTAAGATTCTCTGGAATACTTGATACAATTTTTGCGGTCCAAGTTCAGAAGAGAAAGCCATCAAATAGGCTTTCCGTTGATATTATTCTCCTCCACTTATTGATCTCATTTCACACAGGGTTTGTTTAAATGCTGACGATCCAGTTGAACTACATTTTTTAAATAAATTTCTGATATGTGGAACATACTGGATTTCCGAAGCATGCAGTAATGTATGGCTCATTGCTACCTTATGACTCACTATGTTTTTTGACATTAAGAAATGGGACTGAATAGGCTTTGACTTCATTAAGTAATGTACCGATATTGTCATTTACCCAAGTTTATAGGTAGAACAACTCTCACAACAACCAAACAAGTCATTCAGGCATAATGGAAGGACTGATACCTGGCCCCATAACCAAGTAAATTCTCCCACTTGCTTGCAGGCAAGGCAACATTTGACTCTTTCCTTTCAAACAGAATCAGATATTTGAACAACTAATAATCTCACTGAGTATTTTAATATGAAAACATACTTCAGATCTTCTTACTTCTTTGCAAATTTGAAATAGGACTGATAAATAATCATAAAATCATATCACTGCACAGTCTGCAACCCAAAATATCTAAATGTCTAAACAACATAGTGGGTAGTTTTTTCTAATAGCTAACTAGCTATTAAATATATTTATATGTACACACACACACCTCTCTCTCTGACTATAGCACCCCCACCTCAGTGCTATATAAGTGCAAGTTTTTTTTTAATGATTTTCCAACATCCTTCCCCCCCCACTCCCCAAAAAGTCAATCATATGCTCATTGCAAACTATTCAAACAACTTTAATTAAACTCAAGACCTCCATCAAAACATCAGCATAATAATGCTAAGTGAGGAAATATAGATTGGTAACGTTACCACACTGCATTCAATAAGGTCTCAATGTCACACTTTGCTAACAATAAAGCATTTATCTAAAATGCTTCCAATCCCACTGTTATTAACACACATTCATGCAGTTTCAATAAAATTCAAAATAGGTTACAAGGAATGCATAGAGCTCTCTGGATAAACCATTGAAGACTTGCAACCTATTATGCTTAAACATAATACACAGGCAAGTGCAGAGATAGGCGATCACAGAGATGCTAAAGGATTAACAGGTGAGGGCACTGAAATTGATTCAATGGGAGACTGAGAATATTGAACATGTGGAGGTTAATGCGGTTGAGGATGTGGGCGGCAGAGTTTTGCATGAACTGGAGCTTGTGGATGGTGAAGCGAGGGAGACCGGAGTGGAGTGCTTAGTCTCTCAAGAATTAATTAATTGCAAATTAGGAACAAATTAAAAAAAGCAGCAGACTGTAAATGAAAACAAAGAATGGGTAGAAAGGAGGAAGGGCATTTAATAAGCTTCACTTTAAAAGTGTTGAAAACGAGGAAGGAAATGCAACAACTTGCATTTATACAGTGTCCTTAGTTTCAGAGCACTTAGCATAGTAAAACAAAAAGAGCGAAGGCAGTTAAATATTCGAACACCGAACAGACATAGTAGACCTTATTACTCATCTTTGCCATGCCATCTATTTTGTCAGTTAGTACTGTACCAATAGATAAGGAGCCACAAGGCTTTACACTAAGACACTGTATTAGGCGATCACAGAGTCATCAGCTCGGCTCTATCATATAACTTATAAGGTAGCTTCGTAGGACAACACTAGGGGTGCCTCAGTGTCAATGAGAGAGAGGGACAAAACCCAGCTCGGGTTCCTATTCCCGAGCACAAACCAATGCTCAAGTGTTGGGAGTAGTAGTGTGTACAGGTTTGGGTGACTACAGAATTGGCCTCGGCTGTAAGGCCTCTACTGATAAACTTGCTGTTTTAGTTCACACTTGAACAAAGTGCAGATGGGAGAGAGGAAGGAGAAAGAGCGAGGGTGGGGGGGGGGGGTAAAAGAAAAGAACGTTTGCAACACTGCACCCAGCTTGAGTCAGTGCCTTCAGGGAAAATGGCAAGGGGGGGAAAGGGAAATGGGAAATGTGTAGGGAAATGGGAAACCAACAAACAACCTTCAGGGGGGCGGAGGAAGGGGGGGGGGAAGGAGGAGAGGTGGGGGGAAGGAGAGGGAGGAGGGTAAGAAGGAGAGGGGAAATTAATAATTTCTACTTTCTCTTCTCCTCCCCGCTGAGCGAGATTCTCAGTTTGAAAACAAACCACTGGCAGTGATCTTAAAGAGGTAATTGAATCTTGCTCTCCTGCTGGCATTCATAAACAACTTGTGTTTTAATCAGTTTATTATTAGGACCATTAGAAAACACTGACTAATTACCAACAACACAATGCTCTACACTGCATACAGAGGCAATACTTGGCCAGCTTCTATTTCTCTAAATAACGTTTTTAACTCCAAACTTCAGCTCTGCAGGTCTGTTGTCTTACAAACATTGTGAAAAAATGAAAAGCATCCAATAAGCCAAGAAATCTCAAAAACTAGAAATTTACCAATTTGCCATCATTATCATTTTACCCATCTCTGAAACGTTTTAGAAAATTCCAGAATAAAAAAAGCCCCATTATCAAGTAAGAAACGAACATCGCCTTAGCATCCTATGGAAGGATAGGAGCCAAATGATGCTTAATAGCCTCTCTTCGCCCACACTTATGACGATCATCTTATTTACTGAAATGTATCGAATCAGTTAAGCGAGACACAACATAAGCCTTCAAAAGCAGAAACTTCAACATGACTGATCAATCTGTCTTTGGAGTTTGAGTCAGCTCTCCAACCATCGATAAAGTATGTGATCCACAACATCCTCAGTGTTTCATTACCAGGAAATGAATCACTGGTCAGACAGGTACAGTTACCAAGGAGATTTTGAACATTTTGGAAAAACAATCAGACCACCAATTACAATGTCTTTTTAATCCTTGCAAAAATGCAAACCGATAAAACTGCAAGAAATATTGCAGCAATACTTTGTTGCCTATTCGCATTGTCCGTCATTGGGGAGATCTGGGTTGCTTTCCTCTATGGGAGTTGAATGGATCTGTAAAATCGGGCTCCCAGTTCCTCAGAATAACTTTTAAGATCTGTATCCTGACCTTCAATTGCCTCACAATCTCACTAGGCCCTATGCAATGTGTTCTAGTCCTTTTCTTCTGTCCATACATCCACTCTTCCAGCCTATACCTATTCCTTCCTCCTCATTCCTTCCCTCCTACCACTAACCTTCTCTTTGACCGTGCCTTCAGCTCCCCTCTCGACTCTCTACCCCTCCTCGCTCCCTCCCTTCCTTCCCCTCACCCTGACCATTTCCCCCCTGCTCGGGTCCTGACCCAACTGTACAGTGCCTTGGGACGTCCTCCCGACGTGAAAGGTGCTCTATAAATGGAATCTTGTTGTTGTTGTTGTTGTAACAGTGAAGCCTTCAGCCACCAAGCACTTGGCCACATTAATGTTTCTGAAATCTCTTCACCTGGCTTCCTCTCTCCTCACCTTTAAGATATTTCTAAAAACTAATCAATTCGACCATGCCTTTGGTTAATATCCTTGAACTTCCATTTTCCCTACTCAATGTTCTCAATAATATCTGCCAGGTGCTTTGAGAAATTCATTTGTGAAAGGTATTACGCAAGTGCAGTTTCTCCAAATTGCTGTGCGCACGACTTACTTTTATTTAAAAGAACTGAATTTTAGTAACAAACAGATGGAATCACAGTTGGTCTTTTCTGGTCATATTTCATTCTCTCTACGATTAAGTTTAACACTGTGGCTGGTATTACAAACCTTGTAATAGGTTTGAATTAAATAGTCACATGTAACTGGATTTCCATCATAAATTACTCCTGACAAAACCAAAAACAATCGATTCGAGGCAATTCAGAAATAAGATCTTACTTACAGTGGCGACTAGAAATGGGATAACTGCAGAGCAGAACCTTCAGCCAACGCAGCTAACTTCGAAACTGTACGAACAAGCTTGAAAAATGCTAAAATGCTGCAACAGGGAAGCGAGAAACTCACTTAACTGAAGGATCCAATTCACTCCAACACGATGCTTCACTTCAGTAAAGTAGTCCTCACGTCGTCTGCGTTCCAGAGACCGACCCCAATAGCTAAATATGCTGCAGTATTTCGGGCTTTGCAAACGAGAATAACGATCCCAATGCAATGAAGGCGGCGAGTCGAGCCGTGAATCCGCGTTACCGTCTTTAATGAACACCTTTTTTCCGGGGTGGGGTGGAGTGGGGTGGGGGGGGGGGTGGAAATGTACAACCCAAGTTAAGCTAAAGTGAAGCAGGATTCAGTCCCTCAAAGACCCCGCCCGACTGTGACACGCACCGTCCACGTTTATAAGACGAGTCGATCGATGAACTTCCCCCTTCGCAAAGAAAAAAAAAGTCTTGAAAAATAAGCGCACAAAAGTAGAAGGGTGTGACTGCGATAAGACACTTTTATATATATATATGCAGATAAGAAGTGAGAGAAACTTACAGCGGATCAGCGGGAGAACTTTCGTGAAATTAAAGGCTTCTTTTTAAAAAAGAAACAGAGCGTCTTAGGAGAACAGTTCTTCCCCTCTTCGCGTGTTTTTTTTATCTGCAGGAATTATTTAGCGGAAGAAGCACGATGACAGCGACTAATTTCTCTCTCTCCCTCCCTCCCTCCCTCCCCCGCCTCTCTCTCTCTCTCTCTCTCTAACTCGAGGTGTCAAAGCAGGAAACGCAGCTCTTGTTTGCCCTTCTTCTCTCCCTGCCCCCACAGCACAAAATGTCATATTTTTTTTAAATGGAACAGGAGCTCAAACCCACCAGCTCCAAAAATAAAACTGTCCTGCCCACGATTTCCTTTAATTTGCTGTGTTTTAGAAAGAGAGAGAAAAAAAATCCCAACAGTTTTCTAATATAAAGGCAGATTAATACACGTATTATAGTATATGTGTTTAAAAAGAGGGGGAGGTTAGATAGATGGAGGGAGGGAGGGCGAGAGAGAGAGAGTGAGGAAGGCGAGAGAGAGGGTAGGAGAGAACAGAGGATAGGAGGGAGGGAAGGTGAGGGCAGGAGGGAGGGAGAGAAGGTGGAGAAGGGTAGGAGGGAGAGGGCTTGGAGGAGGGGGAGAAATAGAGGGCAGGAGGGGGATGAAGAAGGAGGAGAGGGTAGGAGGAGGGAGAGAAGAGGGAGAGGGTCGGAGAGATGAGAGGGTAGGATGGAGAGAGGGTTGAAGGAAGGCAGAGTTGAGGGAGGAGAACCGGTATCCCCGGGGGTAGAAGGTGATAGTAGCTACGTGCGTATGTGTGTTTATATGTGGGTGGGGGGGGGGGGCTATTATTTATGCCATAAATCAAGAAATATTCTCTCTCTCAATTCTCCCCCCCCCCCCCCACCAACCCCACTCCTCGGTCATTGTGGCGCCTGTCGGTCACACCTCTGTGTGGGGCTCCTTCTCTCTGTCAGTCAGTCAGTCAGTGTCTGTATCAGTCTCTGACTTCCTGGACAGAGAGAGAGAGAGAGAAAGGGAGAGAGGAAGGACGGGGTGGGTTTGCCAAGAAATGTTTAAAAATACTGTACGTTTGTAGAACCAAATTACCCCCCCACCCACCACACACACACGTCGTCCCGTCCCCCCCCCCCAATATTATCTCCGCATCCCCTCCTATATTGAATCACAAGCAGAGCAGCCCCTTAAATCATATAGTGTTTTTTTTTGCCCCGGGGTTGGGGGGGGGGAGGTGGGTGGGTGGGACGACGGAGACGGGACAGACACTGTGTATGTATGTAAGAAAAGGTCTTTCATTTAATTTAACGCCCCCCCCAAAAAAAAAACCCCCACTTATTTATTTCCAGAAATATAAATACATTGATACCGACGTAAGAAAAGGTCTTTGTTTTTTAAAAGAAACCCACCCCGAAACGTGTTATTTATTTATATTTATCTTTATTTATTCAATTTAAAAAAACAACAGATAAAAAGGAAAATTTTCCACTCCCCCCCACACGCACACACATACACCCCCCCCCCCCCCCCCCCCCGGGCCCTCCTTGCCCCCAAGCCACATCCCCTCCCCCCCCCCCCCCCACACACACACAGACATACGCACAGCAAGAACAACAACAACAACAACACTACCACCAATAAATAAATATATATATATATATGTTATATAGATACCCGCCCAAATTGAGCGTGAAACCCGCCCAATCTGACAACGTTAAGTAAGTGAGTGCAGTATATAAACGGCGACAGGAAGGAAAGACGAACTCTACCTCAGTCAGTCAGTCACTCACAACGACGACGACAACAACACTCCCCTCTCTCTCTCTCTCTCTCTCCCCCATCACCACCTCCTCCTCCTCGCGCGCGCGTTTACCTTTTCAAATCCTCAACGGTCGTCAGGGGTTGTCTCGCGCCCGTGAGGCGGCGGCGGCGGCGGTCACGGCGGCGGTGATAACCCCGTCACCCCGCCACCCACACAACCCGCTCCTCCTCCTCCTCTTCCTCCTCCTCTGCCGCCGTCTCCTGCCCTCTCTCTCTCTCTCCATTCATTCATTCATTCCCCCGCTCCGTGCTGCCGCCATCCCATCCCATCCATCCTACTCCCACTTTTTTTTTGTTGTTTTGGTTTTTTTTGGGTTGTGGGGTGGGGGGAGGGGAGAGAAAAGGAGGTCACAACCGACATGGCGGCCGCCCCACGCAGGCGCACCGCTCCCCTTGGCTTCACTCCTTTACCCTCACCAAAGAGGCACACACGGCCGCAAGAGCCGTACCTACCGTATCTGCCTCCTCTCTTCCTGGGAGGACTCCGCTGTTTTCTGTCTCCCTTCCTCCTCCCACCCCATTAAGTCTGTTTTTGGACCTTCCTTTTTTTTTACCAATAAGGATAGCAACAACATCGGTGCCACCGGGACTGGTAAGAAGATAATTCATAAATGGCTTGACAAGATACCCAGTGCCCAAACTGTCACCCTCAGGCAGAAAGCAGATATTTTAGGAAGTTCAAATATCTAATAGAAAATAGAAAAGTGACATCCATTAAAAAGCAGTGGTGGCCAACCCATAACCCGCAGGGCTGTCAAGACACTAGTCTAGGTAAGAGTCTGTGTTCCAGCCATCAATAATGTGCTTCCAGCTTTTTCTTGCTTTAATATTTCTTTACTTAAGGCATCCAATAATAATCATCATCATCATCATCCTTGCATTTGATCCTTGCATCTCTTCGAGATGTCTCAAAGCACCTCACAGAATATACTGTAAAGTGAATTGACTGTATACTTTGTGGGTGAAATGCGGTATAGCAATTATTATTATAAGTGCCTTAAAGATGTTATTATATAAAAAATCACCTTTAAGACAACTGCACCATGGGGAACTTAAGTTGCAAGTCAAACATTAGTCTTTGACTTAACGTTTTCCTCCCCTCACTATCTACTTCAACCCTATAAAAGTGCAAACATGCTTCAAATTTAAAATGCAAAGAGCAAGGTCACATCTTTTCGGAAGTGTCCCTCAGTTCGCATTCTCAATTAAAATTTCAAAAGTAGTTCATCAAAATGTACAGGATAACAATGTAATGTCACCTAATTACACCCAAGAGTAATAGTTCTTACAGATAAAAAGATGACAGGTATATTCTACTCAAGAAAATATTGTATTCTGCTAAAACGCAGTGATATGGAAGGCTCATGATTTATAATAATCATTCCATTTGATATAGCATATTGTCACATTATTGAGACGTCTCATAGCGCTTCACAGGAGCAAAAGTGGCAGTGCACAGCTCTGTCCTTCAAACATGGAGTGACCAATTTTATTTGAGGGATTGTTAGCCAAGAAACCGGGAGCAACTCGCTTCTCTTTTCGAATAGCGCCATGGGAATCTTTTAATGTCCACCTGAACAGGGAGACGGGGCCTCGGGTTAACATCTCATCCAAAGGATGGCACCTCCGACAATGCAGTGCACTGCAATGGAGTGTCAGCCTGGTCTCTATGGGTAGCGACTATATATATCAGATCTTTCTTTTTTTTAAAAAATGTTACCTGCTTTCCCAATGAGTGATCACAGTTTATTTCAGCAACTGCATTTACCTTTCTCTGAATCCTGGTCGTACGTAGGCATATGCTGATTTTAGCAATCCTGCATTTAAATATTTTCTTTAAAAAGGGAATAAAAGCACTTAAGAGGTTTGCTTCTTCGTGTCTGATGGTTGCCAACTTTAGCCAGAGACCCAGTACCTCCACGACAAATCTCTGCCTGTCAACCAGAGGCCATAGTTTACCTCACTGAGCCAATTACTCTGCAGTGCAGCTAAATTTGGCAAAGTGAAATGCTTTGCAGTTAAGCGATTACAGTGCTGCGCTAGTCTGCAAAAGCGTATGAGTCAGAGAGATCAAAAAAACAATCTGGAAAATGCGAAGGTGGATTATGACGAATAATGCAATGTGCTCTACCTATTCCTCCCCCTTTTACCATTCTTTCATTCGCCACTTTCCTGAACACTGCAATCCTGCAATTGAAAACAACGTCAATATACGGGTATCACATACTCATTTTATATATAGTTCACTTCAATTTGCATCAGTGACTTCAAATAGAATACGGAAACTTGCCCAAGGTTTTGCCAGGAATCAAACCCAGGTCTCTCTCTCGCGAGGCAAGTGCTCTAACCACTGAGCTACAGAACTCTATTTATGACAAAGGGGCATTCAGGATGTAGACGCAATTCCAAGTTGATTTCTCGGCAGTATATGAACAGGGAGCCATTTTTGACTCATTCAGTCTACTAGACTGACCCTCCAAGAAACTTTGCTACCTAAACATCACTTGTGACTCCCAGTTTCTTCTCCTTGGGGTAGAATTCTACAGGCACTGGTTCTATCCCCCTCCCTCCTACTTGCTGAAGAGGCCATTATTCATGCATTAGTCTCCATAGTGAAATTAGGCAAGATATAGAACTGCTGGGAATGTCACAACAGGCAAGCTCCATCCTGCCTTCATCAAGGTTCTACAAGACCGAGTCAACCATAAACTAAATAATTTTTTACAACATTTTAGACAGACATGATGAAGAAATAATAATAATTCTTGCATTTGATAAAGCACCTTATCACGTCTTCATAGAATATATTATAAAGTGAATTGACTATATTTTGTGGGCGAAGAAAGGTGGAAATCATCCATATTGTATTGGGGGAGTGGGGAGGCAGAACGAGGTATATGACTGGCAAGAACAACCAAAATGCACTCTTAAGCCAATTGCAGCATTGCAAAATAGTAATCACTGCTTTAAACTGGAAGCAGGGCGTTTATAATAAATAAAACGTAATCCTTGCATTTACACAGTGCCAATAAAATTGAAAGGTTGCAAAGAGTTTTCATAGGAAATTGCAGCCAACTGTCGTGACTATTTGGAGGTACTGATTAGTGTGTGATTAGTACTCAGATGCTTAATTGCTTTCCTTTTGTTACTCACATTTCCAAGAAAACCAATACAATACAAATTTACATTTATTTATATATCGCCTTTCACGTTGTGAGGACGTCCCAAGATGCTTAACGTTATTGGCTTGGGGCCTGAAGGAAATAATTATCTGACAAGTAAAAGAATGCACAAACTATTGAAAGGGTGCATTATTTCAGATGGTTCTGAGACACTGCCCTGCGTGAATATTTTCTTAGAAGCAGTCCATCACTACATTTCACAGCAATTCCCTGTGAAGTGCTTTGAAACTGTTCTAGGTTATAAGAGCTACATAAAATGCAACAACTATTGAAAGGATGAATAGCCTTCTTGTGTGATAAAAGAAAACCCAGACTGCGCATGCACACTCAATAACTATACTAATAATCCTTGCAGTTAATGAAGTACCTTATCACTTTGTCAAAGTGCTTCACAGGATTTCTGTAGTGACTGTATTTTGTAGGTGAATGCACCATCCAATTTTTGCACTGCAATGGCCCTCATGCAGCCAAGAAGTGAATGACGCTTGGCAGAAATTCCCCCATACCTACAAGCCATTATGAATTGCATCAATTACCTGAGTTAGGACATTTTGCAGATTACAAACGCTGCATCAGATGATAAGTTTGCCCTGGATGAAGAAGGCCTTTCAGCCTGTCTGATCTCATTGTTCTAATCTAGAATATCCACCTTTATCATCCTCCTATCACAGAGTCCAGCTGCTTTTTAAAGGAGTACCAGCATCCAGGCCTGAACCACCCTTCCTGTTCCAGTTGTTAATTACCCTCCAGAATAAAGGAAACCTTCCAGGCATCTGTCCTAAAATTGCCTTATGCAAAACCAAACCTATGTCCTATTCTTGTACGGCTTCAGTGCATCTGAAACTATTGTTTTGTGTTGACTTTCTCAATCCCCATTAAAAGTTTATACACCTCTGAGACGTTTTCTCCCAACGCTGAAGAGCCTCTAGCATGTTTAGTCGACGCTCATTGTGCATTCCTCTAATACTTGGGATCATCCTCACGCAGGAATTTTGTTTTGGTCAGCTGGGTGACACATGGGGAAACCCATCACCTCAAGCTTGAAGAATATACCCACTCTATCCATAAAAGCTTTGGCTTAATAATAATAATAATAATCCTTGCATTTGATATAGCGCTTTTCACGTCGGGAGGACGTCCCAAAGCGCTTCACAGAACACACTGTAAAGTGAATTGACTGTATATTTGTGGGCAAACGCGGCAGCCAATTGCGCACAGCAATGTCCCACAAACAGTCGTAGATTGAAAATGACCAATTTATTATTGTTGTTGATTTTGGAGGATTATTATTAGGCTCTGTAGTAAGGAAACTTGCCCAAGGATTCGCCCTCTGCCGGGCATTGAACTCAGGTCTCTCACTTGCAAAGCGAGTGCTCTAACCACTGAGCTACAGGACTCCACAGAGAGTCTAAGTGGCTAAGCGGGAAGAATACCTGCTCCCGGTCCGTCTCCTCCAAGTCCACTGACGAGCCAGGCCGAGCTGTCATCGTCAGCGCCTTGGGAGTACTGCAGACCCGCCCGGCTCAGGAACCGGACGAACGAGAGCACAAGTGTCCGCCGCAGAGGGTGGACTTGATTCTGACATCCAAGGCACCTTTGGAAGCCAACTCAACTCCCGGGAGAAGACCCCCTCAGGAAGCAGCACAGGAAGGAGGCCGGTTACGCGGCCCATTCCAGTCCGCACCGGCTCGCAGAGCAACGACGCTCAACGCGGGGTGGGGGCAGAGTTGACGAAGAGGTCCTGAACGCAGGGACGTCATTTTTTCCCCCTCTCTCTCTCTCTCTCTCTGCGAGAGGTTCGCCCTTGAGAGGTGAAGGGCTTTAATGATAAACGTAACACGCGCGCAATCGGCTGCCGCGCTTCGCCCGGGGGGGGGAGGGGTACACAGTCGATTCGCTTCACCTCACGGTATATATATTTCAGCGAAGCGCTTTCAGACATCTCAACGATGCGCTCAGGCGCTACATCACACCCGAGCGTTGTTATAATCATTATAATAATTATCGACAGTAATAATAAATGCAGCTGCTGCGCGCGCGCGCGCTTTACAAACAGCGACCCCCAGGCCACGTGCCGTCACTCGCCGGGGCATCAAGGCTCCCTCTCGAAGGCCCCTTACCCCCGAGGCGCCCGCTTCCTTGCCTGATATAAATTATTCCCCGCATTGTTATTTTTTTCCGTGTGTTTGTGTGCCGAGCGCCTCTTTTTGATTCAAATACAAACACGTACAATATTTTTTTTAAAAAAATCTTCGATTGATCAAGCGGTGGGGGGGCGGGGGGAAGAGCCGAAAGGTTGCGGGGCGGTCGAGTCGAAGGCCCCTTCAGGCAGGCGGGCGGGGGGGAGGGAGGAGCAAACGTGACCGGATTGGGCGGGTTTCTTCGCGCCCAATCGGGCGGGTTTGTGCTCGCGCGATAGCTTTTTTTTTAAAAAAAACGGCTTTGGGCGGGTAGCCCAAATGTTTCCTGCTCTCTTTCCCCCTCCCCCCCCCCTCCTCCACCCCTCCCCCTCAAAAAAATACATTTTTATTTTTGCCCTTTCTGGCCCAGTTTTTTTTTCCCGCAAAAAAATCAAACAGTAAAAATCTTAAACCAATAATAATAAATGTTAAACCCGCGGCGTAATCGTCGTAAATATTGGGCTACTTTTTGGGGCTATTGTTTGGTCGACTTTGGGCTACGAACGGGGTTTGAATCGCCAGTGAACCCCGGGCGGTGAAGAAAGGCGGGAGGGAGGGAGGGAGGGAGGAGGCCTGGAAGATGTCCGCCACTCTCCTCTCGCCCATCGTGGACTATTACAACGACGAGGAGGAGCTGGACAGCGTGGACGAGGAGGACGACCGTAGCTTCAGGGGCCGCGACTCGGACGAAGGTAAAGCGAGGCGGCCCTGGGCCGGAGCCTGGGCTCGGGGCTCGGGGGTGGGTTTGTTTTGGTTTGTGGCGGCGGCGGCGCGTAGGCCTCGCGGAGCTGAGGGACGGTGGAGGAGATGAGGGAGGGAGGAGGGAGTGAGTGAGGGAGGGAGAGAGAGAGAGAGGGAGAGAGAGTGGGAGAGGCGGAGGCCTGAGAGGAGGATGGAGACAAGTGAGTGGGGAAAGGGCTGAGGGAGGGAGGGAGGGAACGACAGAGGGAGCTGATAGATGGAGAGAGAGGAGAGAGGGGTGAGTTAGTAGTGAGGGGGGCTGAGGGTGGGAGAGAGGGAAGGTGGAGAGAACTGAAAGGGTTGAGGGCGGAGGGAGGGGGTGGAAGCCGACGGACGGAGGGGAGGAGGGAGTTGAGGGAGGGAGGGAGCTGCTGCTGCTGCTGCTGCTGATGATGGTGGTGCAGGGAGAAGAGGAAGGAACTGAGGGAGGGAGTTGTTGGAGGGGAGAAGGAGCTGAGGGAGGAGAGGAAGGAGCTGAGGGAGGGAGGGGAGAAAGGAGCTGAGGGAGGGAGGGAGGGGAGGAAGGAGCTGAGGGAGGGAGGGAGGGAAGGGAGGAAGGAGCTGAGGGAGGGAGGGGAGGAAGGAGCTGAGGGAGGGAAGGAGCTGAGGGAGGGAGGGGAGGAAGGAGCTGAGGGAGGAAGGGGAGGAAGAGCTGAGGGAGGGAGGGGAGGAAGGAGTTGAGGGAGGGAGGGGAGGAAGGAGTTGAGGGAGGGAGGGGAGGAAGAGCTGAGGGAGGGAGGGAGGGAGGGAGGAAGAGCTGAGGGAGGGAGGGGAGGAAGGAGCTGAGGGAGGGAGGGGAGGAAGAGCTGAGGGAGGGAGGGGAGGAAGGAGCTGAGGGAGGAAGGGGAGGAAGGAGCTGAGGGAGGAAGGGGAGGAAGAGCTGAGGGAGGGAGGGGAGGAAGGAGCTGAGGGAGGAAGGGGAGGAAGGAGCTGAGGGAGGAAGGGGAGGAAGGAGCTGAGGGAGGAAGGGGAGGAAGAGCTGAGGGAGGAAGGGGAGGAAGGAGCTGAGGGAGGAAGGGGAGGAAGAGCTGAGGGAGGAAGGGGAGGAAGGAGCTGAGGGAGGGAGCTGATGGAAGTAGAGGAGGAAGAGCTGATGGAGGTTGGGGAGGATGGAGGGGTGAGGCTGACCGAGGGTGTAAGACCTGTGAATTCGCTGGTTTTTGAACGTGCTTTGAGTCTATCTCACTGCCGAGCTGACTCCAATTTTAGGAGCGAGAGGTTGAGCCGGAGAGATAATGTGGTACAGGTAGGGATAGAAAGAAAACCGAGAGGGGGAGAACAAGAAAGTTGTGACAGGACGGGGAGGAAATGTATGAACTTTTTGCACATCTTCCGCAAAATACACAGTCAGTCCACTTTACAGTGAAGCGCTTTGAGACCTCTCAGTGACGCGGTAAAGCGCTATATCAAATGCAAGGATTATTATTATGTTGTTATTGTTCATTTAATCCTTTCTGTGCAATGGGCCCACTCAGCTGTGCCACACAGCCCAGAGAATCACAGGTTTAACTGTCGAGTCTGTACTGATCAATCAGAGTTGAACGCTGCAAACTGAAGCCTTAGTGGGGGGGGGGGGGGGGGGGGTGCAGTGGTCATTGCTGGTCAAGCAGCATTTGCCAATGTTTTACTAATAGACCTTAGCAGTACCCTTCTGATGAGGTAATACTAATAATCCTTGTATTCGGAATAGCATCTCTCATGGCGAGAGGATGTTGCAAAGAAAGTGCTTCGCAGGATTTACTGTGAAATGGAGTGACTACTTGTAGTCACACAATGTCCCACAAACATCCATGAAGCAAATGACCAATTGTATTTGGTAGAATGTTGGCAAAGACACCAGGAGAAACTGCCTTCTCTTTTCGGGTAGAGCCATAGGAGCTTTAATATCGACCTGAACAGATAGGTGGGACCTCGGTTTCACATCTCATTTGAAGGACGGCACCTTTGACAGTGTAACATAAGCCCTGCACTGCGATGTCAGCTGAGAATATAGACTAGAAGTCCCAACGTTGACGTTTGAACTCAGAACCTTCTGGCTCTGAGGCGAGAGTGCTATCAGCTTAGCCAGGCTGACAACTTCCATTGATTATAGGGCAGGTCAACTTGTGCTGAGTGATAAGGGCAAACTCTGGATACATTAGCATGAAACTAAATCAATATCTGGAGATAGTGGGAGGAAGGGAGACAGAATGAGATTGCCACATTGGCTCTGGGGTCAGGGAGGGGGGGAAGGAATTCCAACATGTATTTTTACAGTAGTTTCTTTTGTGCTGTATGACTTCCAAGATCCTCACCCTTGTCTTCAAATCCCTCCACTCCTCTGCACCCCCTGACCTCTCTGACCTCCTCTCTCCTCACAACAGTGCCCGTTGCCTTCGCTCCACCGGGTCTGGCCTCCTCCTTGTCCCCCGAGTCCTCCGCTCCACCATCGGCTTCCGTGCCTTCAGCCACTACGCCCCGAGGCTCTGGAATTCCCTTCCTCACTCCCTTCGCCTCGCCCCCTCTCTTCCCACTTTCAGGTCTCGGCTGACAATCTTTCTTTTTGACCGCGCCTTTGGTCACCTTCCTCCCTCTGGCTCGGCCCTGGGATTGGTTAGTGAGAAGCGCTCTGAGATACCGTCCGGCGTGGAGGACGCTATATAAATCCAAGTTGTTGTTATATGATTAGAACAACAACAAAATTACTTTTGTATGTTGCCTTTCACGTCGGGAGGACGTCGTCCCAAGGCGCTGGACAACAACAATTTGCATTTGTATAGTTCCCTTCATATGAGCTAGCATCTCAGAGATCTTAAACTGCATCTTGATGCTGTCTCCATTTTTGAGAGTGATGTGAAGGACAATTGACTCTTAATTACTCTGGTATTAATTTCTCTCAATGATGTGGTTTTATTTTTCTTCACAAATGGTTTATTTGGATCCTGTTTCCCTTGCATTTGACAGATACAGAGGATGCAAGTGAAACTGACATTGTTAACAAGCAAGATGACGAAGATTACTTGGAGGTGAAAGAACAGTAAGTATTGTCACAATATGAAGGAATTACTACTACATGTGATGCCTGGTGCAGTTAAAGAAATGAACAACAACAACAACTTGCACTTTTATAGCGCCTTCCACCCAGGACAGATTCTCAGAGTGCTTAACAGTGGTGGAGCCTGACTCCGAGCCATGGGAAGGAGGGAGGGGATCGTAATCACGGTCGAAAAGGAAGGTTTTCAGGCGGGACTTGAAAGCACTTCCCAAAATATATTGTAAAGTAAATTGACTGTATATTTTGTGGGGAAACGCGGCAGCCACTTGCAAGCAGCAGTGTCCCACAAACGTGAGTCGTGGATTGAGTAATTAACTGATTAATGAAGAACTCATTTAGGTCCTATTTCATTCGGTTATTTTTGGAGGCTGAATTGATAGGAAAATGTCTTGCTCGATGCAGTTATTCTTTCTACTTGGGGAGCTTGGATGGCGCAAGGTTACTGTCATTTACTTACTAGAAACTGAATAGATATCCAGCAATGGAAAAGCAGAAGTTACTAAGGCGAGAGGAGTTTCTAAACCAAAATGTCCCACTTTTTAAAAGGAAAAGCGTCATTGAGAATTGTAGTTCACAGAATTAAAATGTGAAAACCAAGAGTAATGTTCTTAACTGATCATGCGGATGCAGGTTATTTAATTCCAAGCTTGGAAGTCCAGTTCATTAAGTGGGCTACCGACTGAGCCAGAATATTTAATACTGCAAATAAATTGATGGGGTTTTTTTTCTTTGTGAAAGCTTTACAGCTCTGCTTTTCAACGCCATACTCCTCCCATCCAAATTTTGAGGCGATGAATTTAAAACTAAAATGCAATCCCTGAAAATCTAATCCTCCGCTTTTCCGAACAATCCCTTCAAAAAAAAATTTAAAAAATAATAATTTGATAACTTAATCCATGACTATTTGTAGGACACGGCTGTGCTCAATTGGCAGCTGTGTTTCACCTACAAAACATATAGTCAATTCACTTTATGGTATATTCTGTGAAATATTTTGAGATGTCTAGAAGACATGAAAAGACGCTATATCAGATTCAAGTATTATTATTTTTCATTATTATTGCTTCAACAATACAGAGTAACCTTTGTGGGGGTCCGTTTTCAACTTTTAACTTTTAAGCTTTTATTTCCTTTTAATTCGCTCCCTACGTTTTCTGTCTAATCCCATAGGCATCATCCATGTCTGCATTAGCAGGTGTAAGTACTCTGACAGTATCCTCCTCCATTCCTTCCTCAGTTGCACTCTGCAATGCTTAACAGCTCACTCAGCCTGATAACTTAGCGATTGTGCAAGAGTGGTCTCTAGTAGAACCTGATTCAAACTTCCATCAAACTCCCATCCCTTTATCTGTAGTACAGTGTGTAAGAGTGTTGCATAATTTGCCTTCGAGACATCACAGCTTTAAATGTCACTGCTACCAGTATTGAAATGAAGGCAAAAGTTTCTGCTTATCTGAAGTCTTAAGCATTGACTCATCATGTTAATAAAAGACGTGTTTACTGAAGTACAGAAAGTGCTAGCTATAGTAGAATTAGAACATAGTCTAAATTACTGAATAAAATCAATCTGAAGTATTGGATTCTGCACTTTAGGCTTCAACATGTTTTTTATATGGCCGTCTCTATTTACTGAATCTTCTGCTTTCAGGATGTACCAGGAGAAACTAACGTCGCTTAAGAGGCAGCTACAACAGTTACAAGAAGGTGGGCACTGTGTTTTTATTTAATCATCGATCAAACCGCAGGGCTCCAAAGCAAAACCAGAATGCCGATCAATGGGAGTAAGCGCAGGCAGGAGAACAGTCAAGAATGACTTGGCTGACAAGAGTTTAAGTACAAAAACAGAAGTTGCTGGAAACACTCAGCAGGTCAGGCAGCATCTATGGAGAAAGGAAAGTGAATCATCTGACGAAGGGTCGTGGACCCGAAACATTGACTCACTTTCCTTTCTCCATAGATGCTGCCTGACCTGCTGAGTGTTCCCAGTGACTTCTGTTTTTTGTTTTCAGATTTCCAGCATCTGCAGTGTTTTGTGTTAAGAGTTTAAGTGTGGCCCCTTGAGTGGAGAGTACTATAAGGCACAGAGGATATTAAAGAGTATATATATATTTTTAAAATGGTTATTCACAAAAATTTGTTCTCGAGTGTCTCATGTAAGTGGCAGTGCTTCAGATTTCTTGTGTTCCTGTGAGAGTTGGTACTGTCCCAACAGATCCGTGCCCCCAGTGGAAGTCGGGAGTGTTAGCCCAAACAGATTATTTTGCCCTCCTTAATCCAGGAGCTCTGAGTCCTATTGCAGCACCACTCCTGTTACCATGGCTGAGACCTAACTCCCCACACACTGGGAATAGAACCTGAGGTCTTTCCGGTTCTGTGCACTTACCAACTGAACCATTAAGAAGCCATATATTGAATTATTTAAGGCGATCAGTGCCGATGCTCCTTATTTGCTTCTTTGTCGCTGTGGTTGTCAAAACTCATGGAAGTGTATAGTTTTGCAGATAGCAAATTGAAAAATAAATTCACGATGGCACGTTATAATGAACTGGATTATTTTGCTGCAAAGCAGAGAAGTGCGTTATTTTTCACCACGGTGGAAATGTATAACAGCGTTGTGTGGTTTGACACTTGCAGGTACATTGCAGGAGTATCAAAAGAGGATGAAAAAACTCGATCAACAGTACAAAGAAAGAATACGAAATGCGGGTTTGTCATTTAACCTACTCTCGCTGCAAGATTGAAAACTGAGTTTTAAAAAAGGAGTGACTGAGAATAAAATATAGACTTCCCCCGGCACTGCTGCCTGAGTTAACAAGCTTGCTCATTCCTAACCAAGGATTGTACCCAAGACTTTCCTGTGACTCATTACTGCAGGATACAGTCCATTAACAGTTGAACATAAGGGCAGCCTCATCAAAAATACGTTTGAGATAAAAATATCCAGAATTCTCAGTGCAACTAAGTGGTTGAGACTGGCAATGAGTTAAGTCTAATATTCGTGCTATCTGTTCTCTCGCTGACAGTGGAAGCAAGACCATTATTATAGCACTATCTGTCCTTGAACACTAACTTGTCACCCCTGTAACTTAAGGATGCTTCATCATTGTGGAGTCCAGTAGCTCAATGGCTAGAGCACTCGCCTCGCAAGCGAGAGACCTGGGTTCGATTCCTGGCAGGGCGAAACCTTGGGCAAGTTTCCTTACTCCACACGCCTGATAATAATCACTCAAGGAAAAAAAACAATAATTAATTGTTCACTTCAATTCATAGCTGTTTGTGGGACACTACTCTGTGTAATTGGCTGCTGCATTTTGCCCACAAATATACCGTCAATTCACTTTACAGTAAATTCTGTGAAGCGCTTTGAGACATCTAGAAGATGTGAAAAGCGCTATATCAAATGCAAGGATTATTATTATTATTTATCAGATTTAACCAAACATCCTCCTTGTGAACGCTGTTGCTAAGTGAACAGACCTCAATAACTTGTTTTCGCGGGTTTCATCAAACTTCAGGAATTATTTCGTTCTATCCTCACAAGGCAAATTTCCAAATTGGACGTGTCAGGTATTATCCTTGATATTATATTTCTCGTCAAGTCTGAATTAAAATTAGGCCGGGCTTTTACAAAGCTTTGTGAGGTACTCTTCTGGTATTAGGTGAGCTGGAAATTGACTGATTTGTTTTTGTGGATTTTGATTCTGCCCAGGCTTGCAAGCAGCTTTACTGTGCAATTGCGGGGGGTGGGGGGGAATGTGAAGGAAAGTTTGTGCGTGATTGATTGATAAGACCCTGAAGTGTCAAGCTGAAGTATGATGATGGCAGTGCTTCATGTTGGTGCAAAATAATAATAATAAAAATGTGCATTGAAATGAAGGGCATAAACATTAAAACCACACCACCGAATTTTAACTCTTTCAGAATAACTTGGAACACTGGAGTTAAAATGCAGAGTTTCAGAGTTCCAATCGATTTGTATCACGTTGTTAAAAAATGACAATTAGAATTGGAGCTCTTCTGAAATTACATTTAAATCTACTTTAATATTTAATAGAAAATTCTCTCAGGCTTCTGTTGCATGATTTAATAAACAGTTTTTGCTGTAAACAGCAAAGAAAACCCTTTTTTTTTTGCAAGAATGGAGCCTTTGAAAGTTTGCAATCTCACTGATACTTTGCCTTATGCAGCAATAGAATTATCGTATCAAAACTGGTAAGATGCTAATCGTAATCGATAATTCTTGAAATGCAGAACAACCTTAACATTGCATATATTTTTCCTCTACAGAGCTTTTTCTGCAACTAGAGGTGAGTGATTTGGGTTTCTATTTTTCCTGCCTTTTATATTAAAAAAAACAGTCACTATACTCAGCAGTAATTTTTTGAAGCACTTTGGGGGCATTTTGACATAAAAAGTCATTCTAAAAATACAAATAATTCTATCTAAAAAAAAGTGCAGTAATAAAAGTCATTCCAAGAGGGCACAATAGAGTTCTGTAGCATAGTGGTTAGCATGCGTGCCTCACGGGTGAGATGATCCATAGTTCGATTGCTGGATGGGGCGTAAATTTCCTTACTCCACACACCTTGTTTACCTAGCAGTAAATAGAAACCCAAGTGTTAGTCGATTGGCGATCGCTTTCTGGGAGTAATAATCTCTCACATTCCTACATAAATACAACACAGAAAGAAAGATGTTGAATGTTCATCGCAATTTTTACCAGCTAGCCAAGGTTTTTATTTTTACGAGCTGTTGCAGCCGAGACATCAAAGTGTTTCTTTGTTCCAGACAGAGCAAGTGGAAAGGAATTACATTAAAGAAAAGAAGGCAGCAGTGAAAGAGTTTGAAGATAAAAAGATTGAGCTGAAAGAGAACCTGATTGCAGAATTAGAAGAGAAGAAAAAGATGATTGAGAATGAGCGGCTAACAATGGAACTCACTGGAGGTGTGTGAAAGGAAGACTTAACCTAATTTGTTGCTGTGCTTGCAAAGGGGGAAAAAGCAAAGTGCTAACAAATGGATTAGTCATTTTCTAATCTGAATCGCGCCTTTCAGGGACACTTGGCTAGAAAAAAAAGTACTGTAGCATGTACAAAGGCTATAAATTAATTTTTAGAAAATCCTAGCATTGGCATAGTGCCTTGTTGTTGAGATACCTCAAATTACTTCACAGAATATACTGTAAAGTGAATTGACCATAGTTTGTGGGCGAAACGTGGCAGCACATGCAGTGAATCACAAACAGTCGTGGATTGAATGAATAAATTATTTATGTACTATGAAGGGATTATTACCCACAGATGCGATCCACCAATTGACTAACAACCGGGTTCCTACTTACTACTGGGTCAAAAGAGGCTTGTGGAGTAAGGACACTTGCTTAGGGTTTTGCCCTGCCTGGGAATCGAACTCGGGTCCTCTCGCTCTGTTAACGATGAGACATTATAGGGATGTAATGGTGATCATAATGCATCCGTTTTGTTATTGCAGATTCCATGGAAGTGAAGCCAATTATGACCAGGAAGTTGAGAAGGAGACCCAATGACCCAGTTCCGATTCCAGACAAAAGACGAAAACCTGCACCTGATATCCTTTTAAGACAGTCAAATATCAGCAAATGCACCTTGTCCTTAACACACCTTACTGATCTTGTTGTAAAATAGATAATTATACGATGCTTTGTAATATTTCTATTAAGGAATAGGGAAAGGTGCAAACATCTTCTGGGTTTCACTTTTGAAACTTGTGTTCATACATGGGAATTTAATTGAAATTAAATTAATAAATTTAAATCACCATTGACGGTCGGGCACTCAACCCTCACTCTCTGGAGCTCCATCCTGGAATCCCTCTGACTCTTCCCCCCTCACCTCTTTCAAGGTCTGTCTCAAGACCTTCCTCTTCGACTGCGCCTTTGGTCCTCTGTACCCTCTTGACTCCCACCTTCAGCTTGGTTGCCAAGCCAGGACAGTTACTTGCCTTGGGACATCCTTCCGATGAGAAAAGCACTGTATAAATGTAAATTTGTGTTGTATCTGCTGTGTTCATTATGCTAAGGAAATGAAAATGGTGAACTGCTTTTTGAGAAGATTTTATCAGACACTACTGAAGCACAGAGGAAGGCGGCGCAGTGTGAGATTCTAAGATTGCAGAGCAGAGATAGATAACTGGCAGGTGGTCTAAAACAAAATCACAGCTTCCTCATAAAGGACAAAAAAGTACAGTATAAGAAAAGTGTGTGGGTTTAGTCTTGCATTTGCAGCAGAAAGCTGATATTGCTGTTATATTTTACTCATTCTTATAAATTGCCCCCACCCATCTCGATTTTTCTTAACCACCTTTACCGCAGTTAAATTACTTGTTAACAGATGAGCAGATTATGGATGATTTACGCACCCTTAATAAGGTAATTCACTTTAGGTACTTGGGGTACAACAAAGAAAATATCGATTTTGCTTTTGACAAACAAAATAAAGTCTCTCGTGACTACAGTATCAAGTGCTACCTCATTGGAGTTGTAGTTACCACTCGAATCATGGAATCTAACAGCAGTGAATTGGGTCACTTGGGTGAGGTATCAAAGGGCGGCTGTTGTACTGTATTTCAGTGGAATCTAAAAGTAACCGAATGGCTTTGGGAGATGAGGGGTAAAAGGATCAATAGAAAGCTGCATACATTAACTTGACTTCCGGCATTGTACAATAGACAGTGTACAAAAAGGCACCAGTAACCACAACTTTTTTAACTAGCAAAGAACTTTAAAAAGTGTTCGTTGCTAAATAATTGATTAAAATAATTCTTGAAAGATAAAAGATCTGAAACAATGGAATTTGTGTTTCGAGGAGAGTAATGCGTAAATATTTTTTTGTCTCTATTACAGCTGAAATCACCAAAACGACCAGGTAGTTATGCTTTTGATTTCTTCTTTATTTCTCCTATTCTTTGCAAAATGTACAAGCTTATTTTTCTGGAAGCAGAACAGATCTAGCAAATCAAACTTATTCAGTCACTTCAGTCCATGCTGCTTCACTGCTGCTGTTTTGTCTTTTCGATAGCCTCCCCGTCTTCTCCCGAGCACCTTCCTAGCGCTCCCACCGAATCCCCAGCACAGCGATACGAAGCCCGAATAGAGGATGGAAAGCTCTACTATGATAAGAGATGGTGAGTCAGGACATTTGTGTATTTCTGCAAGATACCATGTAATGCTTACATTTATATAGCTCCCTTCACTCAGAGAAGCATCTCGGAGAGCTGAAAATATTGATCATGCACATCATGGCTGTTTATGTGCAAATTGGCTGCCACGTTTGCCTACAAATCCAGTCACTACACTTCACATTGAAACAAAACAGGGTCCATCTGGCCTTTCCATACTGAAGTCAGCAAACTCAGCATGGACCAGGATTCGAACCAGCGAGCTACTGATTCTTAACCTACCGTTCTAACCACTATCCCATTGCATAAAGCGTTTGGCCCACAAAACACGCAGTCAATTCACTTTACAGTATATTTTGTGAAGCGCTTTGAGACATCCCAAAAACGTGATAAGGCGGGCGCTATATCAAACGCAAGGATTATTAAGGATTATTATAGGAAAGCTTTTCCCACTCTCGTTGATTCTGGTACACGTGCCAATGTCATGTGGCAGATTCTTCCCTCTGCTCACGCTGCCAGTCTAGGTTCTCACGTGAATTTGCTGTCACTGGGGCAAGGTACCAAGGGACACTAACAAAGAGGTGATAGCTTCTTTTGACCATAAAAATGATTATAGGCTGAAACCAAGCTGCACATCTTAATGAGTTTTTCCACGTACATTTGGTAAAATATCCATGTGTTCTGAAGTTTAGACAAACTGCCACAAGGCGGTGCTGTAACCACACTGTATTTTCAGATTATTTTCCTCCCTGGTTGTGCGTTAGCTCCGGTGGGTGCCCTGACAATAATGAGAACAGCAACAAGCTGTTTGTAGGAATGCAAGAAACCACTGTTTTAGCATTCGGCATTGTCACTTACAGGATGGTCTGAAATAAATGAGAATATTTTGAATCTGTAGCGTTGGGATGGAGGAATATTTGCTTCGAATCTATAATAACCCATTAAGCAACGATTGACTCCAAATTTAACTTTTCATAATAATAATTCTTGTATTTGATACAGCACCTTATCACCCCGTTGAGTAGTCTCAAAGCGGATTGTCTGTGTATTTGTGGGTGAAACGCACCAGTGTTCCACAAACAGTCGTGGATTGAATGATCTGCCAATCGGCTGACAACCGAGTTTCTATTTACTGCTAGGTGAACAGAGGAGTGTGGAGTAAGGAAACCTGCTTAAGGTTTAACCAGCACTGATGTGTGATATATAAAGCTGAAACAGTGCCGTGGCCTGGGAGATTGGGATTTAAATCCTAAAATCCATTAACATTAGTGTTCATGCAGATAATGAACAAGCAGTCTTCATAAATCGGTATTTTAGGCACCGCAAGAAGTACAGACAAAACAGCAGAACTAATTGATGGGTTTTATTGGGTTTCTCAATTTAATATCTGCTCCTTCTTTACTTTTCTTTTTTTACTTCAATCACCCTCCTTACTCCCACCTTCCCTGCCCTCCAACTCTCTTGATCCCAACCCCCAGCTTGGGTGCAAATCCTGACTCCAGCACCTTGGGACATTCTCCCGACGTGAAAAGCGCTATACAAATGTAATTTGTTGTTGTTGGAAAAACCTAGAGAGGCTCTACAAATTACTTAGTCACTACCCTTTCTAGTATGTCCTGTGAAGCGCTTTACGACGTCATAACCCTAAGTATCACACTTAAGAATTATGATTATTTTTAGACTTAAGCAGGCTGCAAGTGGCATGCACGACTGTCAAAAGCGAGTCCAGTCACACACAATGCACATCCTAAAAAAGGAGGTAAAATGTATTCTCCGAGTGTTGCTGATAAGATGCTGTGATAAAAAAAAGACTGCACGGGAACGCTGAATGGAAAATGTTAATCCGGATTTGAAATGATAAGATCGCGAGCGGGTGAAACAATTTGAGGTGGCAGTGCTCTTAAAACAGCAAGATTCGTGCAAAGCCTGAATTTGGTTTGACTTTGAAAATTCCCTGAAATACTGCGTTCCACTTTTCAAAATATTTGTAACTCCCCTATCGATGCTCTGTAAGCTGCTTTGCTACTTCTGAATCGAAGGACAATTTCTCAAAGGTTCAAGAGCATTAGCCTTAATGGAACATTTTTCTGATGTCTGATGTGAGTCAGATGAATTGTTAACCATGTTCAAACTCCACTGAGTTCTGTCTTCCTTTGTTGCGGCAGCATGACGATCAAGCCCATGGTTCTATAGAAGACTTCCATGAATTACAAGGCCGATTGTTAATTGTTTAGCTTTGCCTATTGCATCCCAACGGGGAAGGCGGGGGAGTTGTGTGTAAGGGAATCTTTAGACCTTGGCTGCTGCATCTCTGTATTGTGCGAAGCCTCCACTGAGATCAAAGGGGTTTAAGCTCCAGGGACAAAAAAAAAGCAGTCTGTTGCTTTTGTAATTTCACAAAAATAACCTCTAGTATGTTGTGGAGGAAGGGATGAAACCTGCTGTATTCTCTTTCATTGAATGCATCTTACAGTGTGGTACCATGTTGATGCTGACAATTTAATTCCAATAAATTTTGCTCCTTTGCTTCTGGTTTTTTGCCTAAGGGTTGGATGCAATTTCCCACGGTGAGTTTATGATCTTCGTGCGGTCACTGCAGAGGAAACAATTAGACTGTAGGGGAAAGGAATAATTTGGGAATGTTCCAGGGTTAACAGTAATGGGATGTGAAGCTGAAAGTATGAATGAGGAAATGGAGATCTTAAAGGTGTTGGTAAAAATTAGACTCGACTAGATGACACACTCGTCTTAACACAAATTTCAGGTTAATTGCTTCCAATTGTGGTGCGCCTTCCTCCTCTTTAAATATTTCCACAGGTGTCCTGTTGTTTTCTGACTTGAAGCTCTGCATGTCTTTAGGTGGTGGAGGTGCGGAATCGCAGATAATGTGACGCACTTGTGTCCGCCTTCATTTAATCCTCCTGCTTTCAGTGCGATTGGGGTGTCTGCAGTTTAGCTTGCTGGCTTTTTCCAATAAGAGAATTGTCGAAGGCGAGGTTAAGACAAAGATTTGTTGCGGTTTGATAAGCCAGGGGGTTGGGAAGCCGAGTAACTCTTCCATAACGATGGTTAAAAGGAGCCTTTCAGTTCCAATCCTTCAGAGACTGTATACTCGCAGTCACCAGGTAAACCCTGTAAAGCTCTTTGAGATGTTTCAGCAACATAATCAAGTGCAAGGATTGATGAGATAATAATCCTTGCATTTGATATAGTGCCTTATCACGTCTTCAAGATATCTCAAAGTGCTTCACAGGGTATACTGTAAAGTGTAATGAGTGTATATTTTGTGGGCGAAACGTGGCATTCAATTGCACACAGCAGTGTCCCATTGAGTGAACTAATTATTATTATGTTTTGTTGAAGGGGTTATTACCCCTGGAAAAGCGATCCACCAATTGATTAACAAGTGCGTTCCTAATGCACAGTACTTAGGTTTTGCTATTTCCCCCACAGGTACCACAAAAGTCAGGCCATCTACCTAGAGTCTAAGGAGAACACGAAGATCAGCTGTGTTATCAGCTCAGTCGGGACAAATGAGGTATTTGTCTTTATTTTCACTAGCTCGTTTGTCTTTGTCGTTGAATTCTGAAAGATTTTTTTCACATGTAGTCCTTTTTTGTTTGGCATTTCAAAACATCAATTTGAGTCACAAGTTGGCAAAATGGTAGATTATTCCTATTTAATCAATCTGAGCAGAATTATGGCATTTGCACAATGTTGAGTAACATTTATATTTTGATAAATTGAGTGGAATTCGTGTTGCTGTGGTTTGCTGTCATTTTCTGAAATCCCAAGTACTTTATAAGCAATCTTGTTTACTGATGACTCAATCACCTTTTTATTGTCTGTTCCTGTCCTCCACCGTATATTGGATAATGCATGTGGCTTAACTTTTCCATTAAGGGACTCGAAATAGCTTGGAGTGGCAATTTAATAGTCTTAGAACAACCGTAGTTTTTTTTCGTCTTTTCTGTTTAACATTCCTATAATTTATTTTCCATTCTCATTTTCGCCTCCTTATCCAGTCCACGGCAAATCATAAACTCTAGTGCAGTCAATGCAGCAAGTCCGCTTTATATAGTAAAATCTTGTTCAAAACAAATCTATTATCAAGCCAGTTGAGAGTTGCTGACGAAATGAAAGTGTAGAAAATTCACAGTCTATAAAGTCTGACAATAAATATCTTGACCCGACATTGATCTTTGTTATGTAAGTGCAGATTAAGCTTTTTTGGAGAGTGGAAGAGTAATCTTTAATAATAACAATAATCCTTGCATATGATACAGTGCTTTTCATGTTGGGAGGTTGTCTCACCAAAGTGCTTCACGGGATTTACTGCAATGTGTAGTGACTGTGTTTTGTGATAAAATCTCATTTTATGCACCATCCCTGGTTAATGGAGCATGTAGATGGGGATCTTTTCCAAGCTGATGCTTCTCTTTAACTGGTGATGGGATGGGGTGGGGGGGGGGTGTCATTTGAAGTAGTTAATGTTGACTTCCTGTTGAAGAAGTACCTGTGCTGTGCACTTTGCCGCTGGGAAAGTGACTGAGGCTCTTACTTACTAAATCCGATGCCTCTGGCATTAAGCCTAAATTCTGCCACTAATTGGGATGGCACCTCCTGCCAATTAGAAAGAGCCGTGCTCTTGAGATGAGCACGGAATAGTTTGGAAGACAAACCCAAGGAATATGCTGCGTTCCATTTCCTCACACGGTGAATCTCATTTCAAACATCAGATCAACACGTGCAGGAGGCTGTGTGACGGCCTTCTTCGAGACGAACGAGGGCTACATTCTACATTCTATCACCATCAATTTTGCGTTGCTCCGTGACCTTCCTTCCACTGCTGTGCCCAAGCTGACCAGTGCCAGAGCAGCAATCTGAAATCTAATTTGTTTGCTGGGAGTCATTCCATTCCCTTTTGATCACTTGGTATGTCAGTTGAAGCATCAGAAAAGCACAAGGCAGGTTGTCCAAAGATACAGTCCGTTCCCGATTGCTATCGTCCTCACAGAAACTAGCATTGATGAAAAGAGGTTAATCTGCAATGTTTTCTTCATTGTGGATGTTAAAGATCTATTGGAAAAGAGATGGGAGTTTCTTTTTCTTTCCCTCCCTCCCTCCCTCCCTCCCTCCCAATAAAATTGGCTGTTTTACGGCTGTTTGCAGCATGTTGTTTTGTGCAAAGTGGCTGCTGCGTTCACCGCACAAAGCACACAGTCACTACACTTTGCAGTGTGTCCTGCAAAGCACGTTGAGATGTCCTAAGGTGCTAGTCGAAACGTAAGGATTATTTTCCTACTTTAGTGAATGCCTTGTTTTTGATCCCACAACATGGTGAGCAGTTGTTTGCCTCATATTATTGTAAGCTCCCAACTGCTCCAGAGGAATTTGCATGTAAATGATTTCTACAGGGCGTGGAATATATTTGGAGTTATCCGTGCAAATCTGCAGCCTGGAATTTAGTTGTAATGGAGGATACTTCAAACATACAACCGCCATCGAAAATAATGAACCAACGACTAAACAATGTGGAGGCTCTTTAGTGTTAATCGCTGGGAGTAGCGTTTTGGCTGTAGAATGATGCATTGGGTCAAAGCTTTCACTTTCTGTGTGTGTGTGTGTGTGTGTGTTGCTCTTAGTGCTTGCGTACTAGTCTAGGAAGGCTTCTCGATCTTTGCTTTAGAAATGTAGATTCCATTCCAGTAGAAAAGAACATCTCAAAGCAGGTCCCTGTCTACACAGTAATGAGAAAGGTTTAATGCAATGTTTAGTAACTACCAGTGGAGTGCAGACTCGTAGTGTAGTGGTTAGTGCCCTCGCCTAGCAAACGAGAGGACCCGGGTTCGATTCCTGGGTGGGGTGAAACCGTAGGCAAGTTTCCTTACTCCACATGCCTTTCTTTACCTAGCAGTAAGTAGGAACCCGGTTGTTAGCGATTGGCTGATCACTTTCTGGGGGGTTAATATCCCCCCCCCAAAATGTGATCACTCAATCCACGACTGTGTGTGGGACACTGCCGTGTGCAATTGGCTGCCGTGTTTTGCCCACAAAATATAGGGTCAATCCACATTACAGCGGACGTCCCAAGGCGCTGGACAGTCAGTGTTTTGGACCCGACCTGGGGGTTGGGATTGGGGAGGGTGGAGGGCAGTGGGGGAAGCAAGGTGATGAAAAGCACGGTCGAAGAGGAAGGTCTTGAAGGAGGCGAGGGAGGGGGCGAGGCATAGGGACTGCGGGATGGAGTTCCAGGGGATGGGGGCAGAGTGGCGGAAAGCCCGCCTGCTAATGGTGGGGTGCGTGAGTGGGGGACATGAAGCAGGCCAGAGCCCGCTGAGCGGAGGGAGCGACCAGGATGGTAGGGGGTTAGGAGTTGCAGAGATAGGGGGGAAGCAAGACCGTGGAGGGCTTTGAAGGTGAGGATCAGGATCTTGAACTGTACCCTCTGTGTGATGGGAAGCCAGTGGAGTCGGGTGAGGACGGGGGTGATAGGGTCACGGAGCCTGGTGCGGGAGAGGACACGGGCTGCAGAGTTCTGGATGCATAGATATGCAGCCTATGGAGGGAGGTGTTACGGAGGCCGACAAGCAAGGAGTTGGCATAGTCAAGCCTTGATGTTATGAATGTATGAGGGTTTCGGTGGCCTGCGGTGTGAGACAATGGGCGGACACGTGGTAACGGATACATAACTTGAGTTCTCCTGTAGTGTTAAACAGTATTACTAATAGTCATTTTCTTTGTTGTGTGCAGATCTGGGTGAGGAAGACGAGCGACAGCACGAAGATGCGCATATACCTGGGACAGCTACATCGAGGGGTGTTCATCATACGCCGGCGGTCAGCTGCCTAACGCTGCATTCCTCACCAAAGTCTCACCAGCATCTCCTCTCAGTGAGTCTTCCCTGTGTTTTGGTCAGGGACCTTGCGTTTATAACTAAGCAAGCTTAGTATACGGACTGGAGAAGATGTTTATTTATATAAAGACATTTTCGTACGCCACCTCAACTTGTAAAAAGCACCTTTTTTTTTGACATTCTGTCATTTGGTTCCATTTCTTCTCGACAATGAAGTCGACCGTTCTTCCTGGCCGTGTTCTAACTCCCATTTTGAGGATGGTTTCGCTTGATCCCCGGCCGGATGAGAAGCCTCTTTGTTTTGCCTCAACGCTGGACAATCTAGAACATTTCGACCCGGACAGTTGAGTTACGACTTTGCGTGGGGAAATTTGATCTTTTATACGTGCTGTTTTATTCGCTAACCAAACGCTTTATTGCCATAGTCACAAGTGGACACGGGCCAAAAGTTAGATTTTTTTAAATAAAATAGCAAACGGATCAAAAAATCTTATTTCTTTTGCAAATCAACTCGGGAGTCTTCACAGTCAGTTAGTATTCTGCATTTAATAAAACTGAAAGTCGTGATGGGCCTGTGATTGTGCTGATTATGTTAATATTTTGCATTTGCCTTCTTAGTTTTCACGATGTGTTTTGTAATAATAATAATCTTTGCATTTGGTACAGCGCCTTTCATGTCAGAAGGATATTCTGAAGCACTTCACAGGATATACTGTACGCCCACAGTTTGTAATAACCTATAAATATATTTTTTTATCTGCTCTGAAAGTTTGCCCTAAGTGCCTCAAAGTTGCTTAGCTTGTCACCAGCTGAATGATCTGTAGTCTTCCATTTGCTCTCCGGGCAGATTTTCACTGCTCTTTGGGGGTATTTTTTTAAGGCGCTAAATGCTTCTAAACAGATTGTAATGGTGTCGTTAAACGAAGAGAGTTTGGCTCCTGAAGTGATTGAGTTCATTCAGTGATGGCTCAATTCATACAGACTGTGAAAGACCTAGGTGTGAACGATCGATCTCTGCTGATGCAGTAGTAAGGGTTGCCGTAATCGTTCTCTTGTTGAGTCGAGAATATATTCATATATTATTATATCTTATATAATATATATCCAAATATATTCAACCCCCAGCTTAGATGCAAATCCTTGACTGTCCAGCGCCTTGGGATGTCCTCCTGACGTGAAAGGTGCTTTACAAATATAATTTGTTGTTAGGAATAGGCAGGATAGCTGTCCTGATTGCTATCTACCAGCCCTTGGCTGGAGGTTTCACATTTCCGAATACTGGATGAGTGTAGAATCGCTGACTTGCCACGTAAACCAATGCCCATTTTGGGCAACATACCAGAGGGCTGCACCGTACACTATACACAAGAGAAGGAAAAGAGCAGACAAAACGCCTTACAGAGAGGTGGAAAGTTAAATGTAAAGGCGAACACAACTGGGAACGAATTCTTGGGAAATGTACTTTGGACACGCTGTAAAACTACTGTCATCAAAAGCCAACGGTCTTCAAAACACAGTTGAAGTGCCACCAAAGTAGCTTTTGCCGGGGCCATCTGTTTTCTTGCCATCGTCTAAATTCCTGCCAGCGTCACATTTTGGGAAGTGAATTGAATTGAAATGTGGCTCCCACAAGTTTGAAAGTGGCAGCAGATCCCTAAATAATAACAATAATCCTTGCATTTGATATAGCGCGTTATCACATTGTCGATACATCTCAAACCCTTCACAGGATATACTGCAAAGTGGATTGACTATTTTGTGGGCGAAACTTGGCAGCCAGTTTTGTGCACAGAAATGTCCTACAAACAGCCATTGAGCGAGTGACCAAATTTTTTTTATTTGGGGGATTTATTGGCCAGGACAAGGGGAGAAACCCCTTTCTCTTATTGTATAAATGATAAAAAGAAATAAAATAATTGCCAGGTAAAAAGCCAGTTCCTGAGTTGATTCAGATTGGGGGAAGCAAGCTGTTTTGAGGGAGGGAGGGAGGGAGGGAGGGAGTAAAAGGCAGGCAACCTGGAATCTGTGCTAAATGTTCTCCACCAAGTGTATTGAATAACATTTGCACTTGTTCAAAGGTAATTTTGTTTTGTTTCAAATGACTTGTATTCCCTTCACAGCCAATTGATCACACGCTGGAGAAATGTCAGTTGGCGGCTGCACCAACTATCGGTCAGAAATGTAAGATGGATAAACACAAATGTTTTCCCTGTTGCTGTCCGACAGAGCTGTTTTTACTGTCATACATTTATGTTGTTTTGTTTCCTTGTTGGACTTGTACCTTGGATAGAAAACTTGTTCTTATTCCTCTTCTAGCTCTGTCCCAGAGCCAGTAACTTTACAAGTGTTACCGTTAAAGATAACCTATTTTTTTTCTCATATATTAACCCGAAATCCCACATGTAAAATTACTACTTCACACAAGGATTCTTTTATTTCTCTCTTCTGGGCATCATAATGTGGGCATTTGCCCAAAAAACACACAGTAAATCCTGTGAAGTGCTTTGGAATCATCGTCCTGACCTAATAGGCGCTGTATCAAGTGTAGGATCAACACAAATAGCAGCTAGCTTGCCTCTTCACATCTGTTTAATTTTCTAGATATTTATATGTGTATTCTCCATAGATTTTAGTTTACAGTTGGATTATTCCAAAGGGAATACCTAAATTGCTGCTTTGTGCTTAAGGTAATGAGAGGGAAAGAAACTTTGCTAAAGAGAACAGTGAACATCATTTAAAACATAAAACTTACCCCGATCACCCCAGTCCTCGCCAGACTGCACTGGCTGCCTATCCCAGAGAGGATCGATTTCAAGATCCTCACCCTTGTATTCAAATCCCTGCACTCCTCTGCTCCCCCCCCCCCCCCCCCCACCTCTCTGACCTTCTCTCTCCTCAAAAAACGTTGCCTTCGTTCCTCCAGATCTGGCCTCCTCCGAGTCCTCCGCTCCACTCTCGGCGGCCGTGCCTTCAGCCACTATGCCCTGAGGCTCTGGAATTCCCTTCCTTACTCCCTTTGTCTCGCCCCCTCTCTTCCTACTTTCAGGTCCCTTCTGAAGACCTTTCTTTTCGACCGCGCCTTTGGTCACCTTCCTCCCCCTCCCCCCGGCTCGGCCCCGTGATTCGTTACTGTGAAGCGCTCTGAGATGGCGTGGAGGGCGCTATATAAATCCAAGTTGTTGTTGTAAGATACTGCAGATGCTAGAAATCTGAAACAAAAACAAATCGCTGGGAACACTCAGCAGGTAAGGCAGCATCTAAAGATGGAGAAAGATGGAGTCCTGTAGCTCAGTGGTTAGAGCACTTGCCTTGCAAGCGAGAGACCTGGGTTCGTTTCCCGGCAGGGTGAGACCTTGGGCAAGTTTCCTTACATCACACGCCTGATAATAATCTTTCAAGAAAAAAACAATAATAACTTGGTCACTTGAATCCACGACTGTTAGTCAGACGCTGCTGTGCGCAATCGACTGCTGCGTTTCGCCCACAAAATATACAGTCAATTCACTTTACAGTATATTCTGTGAAGCGCTTTGAGACGTCTAGAAGATGCGAAAAGCGCTATATCAAATGCAAGGATTATTATTATTAAAGGAAAGTTAGTCAACGATTCGGGTCCATGACGCTTCATCAGAACACAAGGGTCGTGGACCCAAAACGTTGACTCACTTTTCTTTCTCCGTAAATGCTGCCTGACCTGAGTGTTCCCAGCGATCTTTGTTTTAATTTAAGCATAATCCTTGTTGACTTGTTGATGAGACGCGATATCAAATAATATTAGTCCTTACATTTAGTGTGGAGCCTTTCGAGTTGGGAGGCTCTCTTCACAGGATCTACAGTAAAATGGAATGACTACCTTTTGTGGGTAAACGTGACAGCTAATCTGCGCACGGCAATGCCACACACATAGCAACGATCAACTTGATTATTATTGATTGAGGTATTCAAAATTATGAGGAGTAAAAGAACCAGAAGGGAGACTAGGAGAATTTTTTTTTAACCCAGCAAGTCGTTACGATCTGGAATGCACGGCCTGAAAGGGTAGTAGGAGCAGATTCAATAGTGGCTTTCAAAAGGGAATTGGATGTGTACTTGAAAAGGAATAATCTGCAGGAATTTGGGATAAGAGCGGCAGAGTGGGACTAGTTGGATAGCGCTTTCAAAGAGCTTGCACAGGGACGTTATGCTGTGAGATTCTATGAATTGCTCCACACTGTTTTCGCTTCCAACATGTAATTTCACCCTGAGTAACGAAACACTAAAACTACCTCCTCCGAATAGAATCACTCTACATAGTTTAACTCGTCCTGTTATCGACGCTTCTGTGATCCTGGTCCTTTAAGACTGGAGTGAGTTCCAGCTGCAAGTCTCTTGTACTCAGTCAGGAGACAGCTGTTCAAACAAATTTCTCATGTCCCATGTGTCAAACTCATGTGTGACAAGCTGGCTACAGCATCTCTGCCTATTGCTTGACAGTTCTAAGTTTTCGTCAAGCACGCATTTATTTGCGATGGTCCAAACATTTTTGTTCAGCACGACTGTTCTACTTAGCAGGGGGCTGACAGCTTAACCATCCTGCGCACAGAGTGAAAATCCTGCTTCAAATGTTTCTTAGGGAAAAAGGCCCATTAAGGGCATATTAGTTAGAGCACTCGCCTCGCAAGCGAGAGGTCCTGAATTTGGTTCCCGGACAGAGCGAAACCATAGGCAAGTTTCCTTACTCCACACGCCTTTGTTTACCTAGCAGTAAGTAGAAACCTGGTTGTTTGTCGTTTGGCGGATCTCTCTCCAGGCATAATAACGTAAATTCCTGTGTAAGGTGTTATGTGAATTGCAAGGATTTTTATTGTTTGTTTATTGTTGTAACCTGGTCAAACCTCAGCCATACCTTGGATGATAATGCTAATAATAATATTCCTTGCAATTGATATAGTGCCTTGTCACGTTTTCGAGACGTCTCAAAGCGAATCAAAATGATAGAGATATGGTTGGACACGGAACTCAATGTCAACCTTAGAAGGTGAAAGACTGAGACATCGGGAAATGGGCTAATAACCCAGCTCAGGAATAGGCTATAAAATGTCATGTAATAGTTAGACCTATCCGCATTACCTTCTTGCCACTTAATTTGACTTCAAGCATTATACTTTGCTTTCAAATACTTATGATGGAGATAACTGGGGAAAGGGCTTTTAATGTATTTAAGCAAAGCTCTGAAGGAATTAGCATCAGTACTTCAGTCCACATTAGGTGAGTGAAACACACACACTGAACTGGACTGATGACGCAAATCAATCCTTAGCCTTGGGTTTAATGTGCTTTGACGAATGGTCCATTGGGTTCTGAATTATGCCATTCTGCGTTTCATTACAATGGCACTTGGAGTACTCTTATCACACATTACTGTGGCATTTTCAATGAGGGACGTTGCATTATCAAAGACTGAAGACCATGTACTTACCTTTAGACGTTCATTTTTCTTTTCCGCCATGTGTAGTATAAGAACTGTCATCGCTGGTCGCTACAATGTCAAAAGATCTTTTAAAGCTGGCTTCTGAATAGTGGGTCTC